AATTTGCAAAGTCAACAAGCTAATTTTGTATGTGCATTTTGTAGAGGAAAGTCCTGTGTGTAAGTTAACAACGTTTCGATTTTCGGGCGTCTTCAAGCAATTTTTGGCAATTTTTCAGAATMGCCGTTGGTTTACGAGACTGTTTTTRCAGGCCGCAGTTTTGCATTWGTTYCCTCTGCAACTAGCASTGCKACAAAAAGTMAATTTTKGATGCACTTCGTAGAAAAAAAAGTCCCCTCTGTAAGTGGACAAAGTTTCGATTTTCGGTCATCATCGGGAAATTGTTCACCCTTTTTTCAAAATAATTTTTCAAACTTGCGTCTGGTTTTTCTGATGATTTTTGCAATCCGGAGTTTCACAATTATTTTCTCTGGAATTTGCAAAGTCAACAAGCTAATTTTGTATGTGCATTTTGTAGAGGAAAGTCCTGTGGGTAAGTTAACAACGTTTCGATTTTCGGGCGTCTTCAAGCAATTTTTGGCAATTTTTCAGAATCGCCGTTGGTTTACGAGACTGTTTTTGCAGGCAGCAGTTTTGCATTTGTTTCCTCTGCAACTAGCAGTGCGACAAAAAGTAAATTTTGGATGCACTTCGTAGAAAAAGTGCCCTCTGTAAGTGGACGTTTAGATTTTCGGTCATCATCAGGAAAAAAAATCTAGTTYYTCAATAAATCGCTAAGTGAAAACGTCCACTTGGGATTGTATTTATRAAGCAGAGTCCCTTCTGCATGTGAARAAAGTTTCGATTTTCAACCATCATCAAGTTATTTTCGACAATTTTAAAAATTGCTTTGTTTTGGAGTTTCAATTTTCAATTTTTTTTWTWAATTGYATCTGGTTTTTGGAKGCCGAAGTTTTACATTTATTTCCTGTTGTATCGAGCAAAGTCCCCGTTCTSTAAGTSGACAAAGTTTCGATTTTCATTGGGCATTTTGATTCACAATTGGGCAGTTTTYATCGGGATTCTTTGAAAYAYTATACTTCAAATACCAGATAATAAATAARAGTTTAAAGATGAAARAAGTTTTAAAATCAAATTTTCCCATACCTTTGAGAGAGACCCAACAACTAACATGAACAGTAGCTTGTTGAAATAACATCAATAATCGCTGAAATGGATGGCCAAAAGCGTAAATGTGTAGTAACAAGATTGAAATCAAACTGGTTAATTAGCCATACATCAGTGCTCGTAATATTATTGATACACTGTGCCTTTACGAGGCGAAATGATTAGCTGATCGAATCTGCGGGAGAGCGAAATTACTAATGTTTCCCCCTTGCTAAACGGCCCAAATAATTAGTAAGCGATTATTCGACAACTCCATTATATACAGCTTCAATGCATCAGGTCTGCTAATGCAATTTGTTGAACTGATTCCATTTTGCACCAGTGAAGGTGAAAAATGTTTTCGAGCCCAATCGCTATGTAATTAGCTAGAGAAATTGAAGATCCCGTTCATCATTAGGTGAACGCCTGAAGCTGCTTAGACGAATAACTTTATATCGATCTTCTTCCAGAATATCCAGGGGTGTTTGATGATGATCTGGATGCATGATGGGTTTTCATGTTCGCTATAGAAGACCTCCAATTGCATTTTCCCACAGACAGAATGTCTGAGTCTCTTATCTCCTGATGTTCCACATATTCCATCAAAAATTCTTGCTGACGCCTGCCTGCCAACCAACCAGGCGAGCTGATATTGGATTTTCCCGTCTCTTCTCTAGGCGATTTCTTCCCCGTTTGTTTTCATCTTCTCCTTGGTATTTCATCTGCTTGAAGAGAACCAGACTATGTGCCAAAAGGCGACCAGTATTTTCTCCTCTTTTTTTCACCAAAGGATGCTTTGCAACAGAAACAACGTCTCCTTAACGCGAGTTCTTATTAATTGTTGCTTCTTGTCCTGTTCGCATTTCCTTTATTTCTCCGTCCTCGCTCCAATCCAAATAAAGTGAATTATGCTAAATAAAATTCGATGGCGAATATGTCGATGCAATCAGCTAAAACATAGTGAAAAAACACAGAAAGCGACTTACCAGATCGATTCCTTTCTTGTTGGCAGCGACCTGGGCCCTCAGATCCGATATATTGTCATGCAGGTTCCGCCCTCCAGCCTGCTTAATTGCATCGGTGAATTCTGCCTCCATGAAACGGTCCTTTTCGACCAGCAAAAAGGATTTAAAAGCCGCGCCTTCCTGCTGTAAACTGGTAGAATGGGGCGGCATCGAGCCTGGCGTTATGCCGCCTATATCTGCGTGATGCCCACGACAAGCCACAAAAAAGATCGGATCTTTCAAGTCTCTAAAAAAAAAACATTTTTTTTCGCTTTGTTGCTTCCAGGAAAATAAAGGATTGTCAACTAAATCCATAAAATACCCACTGATAAAACACTGGAGTAATGACGGTGAAGTCGGGTAAGTGCGATCCTCCTGCCGCTGGATGATTCGAAAGAATCACATCCCCAGGAAGGAAATTCTTCCTGGTTTTCATCTGAAATTGCACGGCTTCTTGCATGGCTCCCAAATGTACCGGAATATGAGGGGCGTTCGATACTAATCCGCCGTCGGCACCAAATAAGGCACAGGAAAAGTCCAGCCGCTCCTTGATGTTCGTCGATATGGACGTTCTCTGCAGAATCCTGCAATCAGCTAAGATTAAGCGCAGTTCGCCTGGCGGCATGCAACTTACCTGCCCATTTGCTCCGCAATGCTCATAAACCGATGGCTGAAGATGCTTAGCTGGATGGAATCCAGCTCGGGGCCGATTTCCCTCAGTTTTCCCGACCCGATGGTGATTTTGATGTCGCCGTATTTTGATATCACTGCAGTGCATTCCGGTTCCACCAGGATGGTGCACAGTTGGTCCATTATAATAGAGGGACCTGTTTTTTAATTATAAAATTAATTAAGCAAATTATCTTGGAGTTCAATGTTTCGTTGAAAAATCGACTTCAAGCTCAGCTTGAGTAAGTTTAACCAACAGTTGTAATATTACAACTGTAATATTTTCTTATGATCGTCAAATAGTTGTGTTGTATATCACCTTTTAACTCCTGGCCTGTCTTCAGATCCTTCAACTGGTACACTTTGGTCTGAAAGTAACTTTTCCCAAAGAACACCTTTGCTGTTGTAATGGGGGTTGGAGCTTCTGCGGAGGCTCCTATTGGAGCGGCTTGATCCGCAACGCTTTTGCCAACCCCGCGCACCTTTGGATAAATTTCCATGTAAACCCGTGAAAGAAATCCAGTCAAACCACTCACTCTGATATCATCCACCACGATTTTCCTCTCTGCAATCACGAAGCCGAACTCCGACTTGTATCGTGCGATGAAGGACCTCAGAAAGTCGCCGTGTTTTGTAGGTGTTTCACCCTCCTGAGGGCGCGTGGGGGCGCACATCAGGGCGCAATCAGTCCCATCGTACCGCATGTGCAAATAGGGCTCCACAACTGAGAAAACGCTTTATCTGCACCGTGCCATTGCAACAGTTTTGGATCAGTTACCGATATCAGAGTCGCGGAATCCTTGCTCCTGCAACTGCTGCAGACATTGTCGTTTCAGAGCGTCCAGCCGAGCGTCAAAGTAGGCGAAATTTTCCTCAGCGTATGTCTTCGCACATGCTTCTTGGGCTTCGTGCACAACGTCTGCCAAGGCAATCCCGTAAGCCGATAATATCCCTTTAAGCAAAGATACTGTTTAAATTTCGTCAGGACAACACAAGTGATACAACTTGGTTAAACAAGACACAAAAACAATCAGAATATAACTAAGAACCTGCACCTGCATATCTATGAACAAACACAGTGGACATCCCTAAGGATCGAGCTATTGCACAGGCATGCTGCCCGCCTGCACCTCCAAAGCAGGCCAGTGCATGTCTGGAGGTGTCGTATCCTTTCCCTTGCGTGAGGGCCCGAATAGGCCTACACATCGCCTCATTGGCCACTCGTATAAACCCCATAGCGACGTCCTCCACAGACAACAAGCCCTTTAGGGAAAAATTATATAAATCACGTAAGATTAATCAACTGGACGTGCCAACCTTCTCCTCAGAGCTCTGTTGGTTTTGCAAAAAGCCGTTAATGTCCTCAGTTAATTCCTGGAAGGCCTTGAAGGCGATGCCTTTATCCAGAGGCTCGTTCTCATCGGGGCCAAATATTTTGGGGAAAAAGTCGGGTATCAGTCGCCCCAGAACGAGATTCGCATCAGTCACAGTCAATGGACCTCCTTTTTTGTAGCAGGCTGGCCCTGGATGGGCCCCGGCTGATTCTGGACCAACCACAAACATCCCAGACCTGCAAAAGGCTTTTGGTAATAAAAATCGTTCAATTGTTCATTTTAGACCACTAGCCTGAAAAACAACATGGAGCCTCCACCAGCTGCAACCGTGTTGATATCAAGCTGGGGCGCCTGAATGGTCACTCCAGCCGTGGTACTTTCATATACATGTTCAAAGGAGCCCGCAAATCTTGAGACATCCGTGGAAGTGCCCCCCATATCGAATCCTATCACCGGTAGTTCGGTCTCTTTTTGCCACGTTGTAACTGCGTAGCCGACAACGCCTGGAAGGGTTCATTCTGTAGGAGTAGAGTGGGAGATGGATGGAAATTAGGCAAACCTCCAGCAGGACCGGAAAGAATCGCTCTCGCTCCGTTAAAGTTTTGCATCGGAGTCAAACCTCCATCACTCTGCATGAACAGCACCCTGGTTCCTCTAAGACTGTTCTTGAACCCGCTGCAGAATCCTTCCACGTATCTTCGCACATGAGGTGTTAAGTAGGCGTCCGCACATGAGGTGAAGCCTCTGGGGACAATGCGCGTCATGGAGATAACATCGTGTGATAAAGATACATGAGTGAAACCTACAAATAACGGCATGATGTTCAGTTGGCAATTGGGTAAAATGCTAACCAATTCTTCTGGCAATGTCTCCTATTTGCTTCTCATGTTCAAAGTAGGCGTAGCTGTGAGCAAGAGCTACGGAAATACTGTCAATGCCCATTTGCTTAATTTCCATCAGGCGACTCTTCACAGCTTCTGAATCCAGCTCCCTAGTCACGTAGAACTTTTCCCCAGTTTGCCCTTCTACGATTCTCCACTTCCTTGCTACGTCCCCTAATTCGCACTGGCCCTCCAGTGTTGGGATCACTCTGCAATCCACTTCTGCGACTTCAGTGTAAAGGAGATCCGGACGACGAATATTCTAAAAATCCCAGGCAATATTTCCACTGTTTGCCCAAGGAACCGATGAAAAATGCTCACCAGCTCGAATATTTTGGGCCTGGCCTGATTTCCAATCAGCAAAATATCCTTAAACCCTTTGTTGGTGACGAAAGCCATTTTCTCCCCTTTGCGCTCCAGGAGCGCATTCGTAGCAACAGTGGTTCCCATTCTTATCCAGTCAATCATGGAGTTATCCACATTCCCATCGACATCCACTCCTTTGCCGGTTTCCTGTAGGTAAATCAAGAAAATGAAGCTCTAAATGGTTTAAGACCTTGTGCAACTTGCCTCTTCAAGGATCCGTCTGATTCCTTCAGTTGGGGCATCTTTGTAATGCTGCGGATCTTCAGACAGCAGCTTGAGAACGCGGATTTTTCCTCCGGGACATTGTGCAAAGACATCAGTGAACGTTCCACCACGGTCAATCGCAAACTTGAACTTGGTTGACATGCTTTCAATTGCTGTAAATTATCAAGTCGCTTACTGTTAGGAACTCAGACAGAAAACGGCCAGAAGAAAAGCTAAAAATCTGATACGATTTGCGAAAATATTCCTTGCAGTTTCATGCATGTTCTACAGCGAAGCGTCTGATCGAGCTTTGAGACGATTTTTCGTCTGGTATTATTTTGCAAATGAAAGAGAAAATTGTTTAAACTTCTTTGCGAAAAATCTTACCTATAATCGGGGGTCAGTATTAAGGAAATTGTCTAACAAATTGGACAAGCATCTAATGAACAATGACAAACAGAATAAGTGATGGTAAAGTTCTGTTTGCTTGGCTAATGAACGCAAAGCGAAAGCCACTGATTAGATAGCAGTTAAGAATGTACGTTTTAAATAATGTTAATAATCGTGCGAGAAGCGTAAATATTTGTTGCCGCAAACTGAACAACAAGTTGCCTCTTGAAAACTGCAGTGCAGAAACTGAGCGGAGTCAAAAAACTGTCCAAAGTTTCACAATTTATTTCAAAGCAATTCGATAATGAATTT